CATATTTATCTCTTGGCTCTTAAAATCAAATTCTCCCGTTGGTTCGAATTTAATTAAAAGTCCATAATTACTTTAAATACGCAGCGGAAACATAAACATTCAATAATTATTTTCCTATTTTCCAGAAGCAAATTTACTATTTACTGAACAAAATTATCGTTGGATGAATTTTGTACAGAAAATTATCACAAAAATTCAATTCAAATTGATCAAACTGTTTTCTGGAAAATAAGAAAATCCAAAACTGTGACTGTACTATTTTATTTGGCCATTTCGGCCCGATCCAAGAATGACCCATGGCGGTTCACACGCTGCCACCGCCAACAAGACCCTGCCCAAAGACCCATGCTGACCCGGCCACATGGCCAACAAGACTCCACGCCAGCCGCAACTGGGCTGGGCGAGATTTCACCGAAAGCAAAGATCGCTCTTTGGGCCAAAAGAGGCCCGAGCCCTCCTGGCCGTTGATCTCAGATCGACGGTGGAGCGCCCAGCTCGGGGCATCAAAACCCCCGGCCGACCGTGCCTCCCTCAACCCTAGCTTCATTTTTCACGCGCACACTCTCTCTCTCTTCGCCTCACTGCTCTCCCTTTCTCATCTCAGTGAATCACCGAGCGAGCAACCATGGCGAAGCAGCGAGGTCCCGGCGCCGTCGCCGGCCCCCTCACCGACGCAAGCGCGCTCCCAGTGAGTGCGCGCGCCGTCAGCAGCGGCTTTGGCATGGCGCCCCTGTGGCGGATCCCGTGAAGTCGTGCCCTTACGGCCCTCTCTTTTCCTCAGCAGCCTTGTTGGCGCTTTCGGCGGCGAGGTGAGCCGAGCCACCCTCTTCCCCTTCTTTCCCCGTTCGGTTTCTTTGATTCGGATTTTTCACGATTTTTCCGATTAGGGTTAGGGTTAGGGTTGGGGACGACACTGTTTCTCTTTTCCCCAAATCACCTTCCTTTTCTCAGATCCCAAGGGATCGAGTTTAGGATTCAATCGAACCCTTTGTTGGCCGAAGCCCTTTCTTCTTTCTAGATCCGCACTGGATCTCTTCATCTTTTCTTTTCTAATCGGTACCCGTTCTAGATCTACGTGCTAGTTGGCTCTGGTACCATTGTTGATATTCTTTGGATCGACTAGGGTAGATCTAGGCGGATGAACACTTGGATCCTTAAAGCACATTCACATCTAGACCTAGAACACTACACCGAGAGGGAGATAGGGTAGAGGTGTTGGTGTTGAACCTGAGCCTTCGGAGGAAGTCGCGGTTGAGCTGGCCATCGCTGGTTCGTTGATGGAGGCAAAGACACGGGCAATGACAATTTGGAGTAGAGGTTGCACGGACGTCGATGCGGTGCGATTTGACGGGCGGTGGCGTTGATTGACGCAGTGAAGGGTCGTAGAGCTTCCCGTCGGGCCGCTGCGCCTCTCTTAGATCGGTATAGGGTTTGTCGGTGGGGTTTGCGGCTCACGGCGAACCTCGTGCTTTGAGCGGCCGCCCCCACCTCTTTATATATAAGCAGCGACGGGGCCCACCAACCCATGGGTTTAGGCGCCTCGATCGTATGCCAGAACCAAGGCCCAATAGGCCGTTGGGCTTATTGGTTAGGAGATCAATCTAACATGGCTGCCACCGCCGGTAAGGTGGTCGGCTCACGGCGTGGAATCCCAGAGCCGAGCCCAGAGCCGAGCCGGGCCGGGACCTCGTGTGTGTGTGTGTGTGAGTATTCAGAGCCTATTCCAGTAAGAAACAAAAAAGCACTGGCTGTTCTTTTTTTTTCCTAGTCGAGTAGTATGGTTCAGCAACCAAGGTAACGCAAAATTTCAGACATGCGTTGGCTTCCTGATCTTGTGTCTGGTACTGCCCGACACATCTTAATCGCGGTGACGTAAGGAGTTGCGAAATGGACCTGGCCTAGGGCTTGGGATGGCACGCTAGCTGAGTCTGAGGTGCTTCCTTTTCCTGCTTCGTACAAGGGATGAGACAAAGAGAAACAAAGCCCACGATGCACCAAAGATTTCCTTGTCCCATATATTTACCCTTTTGCAAGCTTTAGAAAATTACCCATGCAATCTGCATAGTAATCAAAGCTCTAATCTTTGTTCGGTACTCCCTCCTCTCACTATTAGAGTTTTAGGCTACTTTTGGTTATATAAATATTAAATTAGTGAGTATTGATCAAGTGTTAGTAAAATTATATGCACATTTGGTGTACAAAGTTGTAGCAACTGATACTATATTGTAATAGGAATTAAAGTCCAAAATTTATTCTTGAAGTCTTTTTTCATATGAAAACAAGCCTAGCTAACATAAGTGCACACTAAAATGTTTTTTTGTTAAGATCTACTCTCATCCTAAATATAAATCTACTAGGATAACAATATGGTTTTCCAATATAAAATTTTAAAGAAGTACATATATAAAGATTGTTCCAAATCAAACTAGTTATATATTATGAAAGGTTCTTTTTTAAATGGATGCAGTAAAATTGTTAGTCTTTCGTTGTGTCTTGGGAATCTGATCAATAATAATAATAAATAATAATAATAATAATAAACAGTTAGATCCAGCTTGCTAATACTTACTTCATCCTAAAATATAAGGGATCTCAATTTGTCCTACATCAAACAATGCTAAGTTTAACCAAGTATATATAGGGAAAAAGAATAGTATTTATGACATCAAATTAGCATCATTGGACTACTACAATGGGAGTAACAGTGCCTAGTTAGTGCTGGATATCAAACCAGCTTGACTCGTACGAGATTGAAATTAAAAACAAAGTTTGTTAATCTTCAATCCAAGCAAATGGCAGCATAAATCCATGTCTAGGCTCTCACCGTTGCCAGCGCAAGGAGCGTCGCCCGTGTGCTGGCGCCAGAGATCGTCCTGTTTTTTTTTTTTTAAGAGAGATAGATCGTCCAGGTGGGAGACAAACAAACGGAGTCACCGAGTCGGGGACTCAGGCCGACTGAAATTGGACTGTGGCGCTAGGCCAACTGGAGTTGGGCTCCCGGCCTGCTGATTGCCCTGGCTCGTTCGGCCCGCCAGCTAGTTATCTCTTAACAGCTAAATAAAACTTCTAACTTGGCTTGTTCAGAAAATACAACGAGCCGAGCTGAGCTAGCCAGCGGATTCCTGATACAGCGGAATCTGTTATGCTAACAAAGTAACAAGCATGCTTATATCTACTGTGTAAGAGCACGATCTAAAATTACGCATTGTAATTATCTGTCAGACCCCACCTATTTTCTCGTCATGTTCGCCTGCACGGTTGCAGCTACAGCCTGAGTGAATGCCTTCTTCTGCAGAGGCTGGAAGGTTGCTCCTCACATAGTCACATCACTTCTTTGCCTGCCTTCTCGCTGCTCCAAGCAAGAGGACCTTGCCCACCAGTCCGGTGTTGAGCACACAGAGCGCAGCCACCGCACCACCAACCACCACCCACTTCCAGTCGAAACCATGCTGAACTGCTTGGGACCTGTCATCCTCGTCACTGGTTTCATCTGTGACAGAGAGGTCATGATCCAGCGGACCATTTGAATCCGTGATGGATATCTTGGTGGTCACTCGAGCCATGATGGTGCTGTGTGACAGGGTGTTTTCTGTGCCTCTCATTTGCTGATAGGCTCTGAATCCAGACTGAAGTTTCTTCACAGCACCCCACATGCCGTGACGGACAGCAACCCTCGCAACATCTTTTGGTATGCCCATGTCCTCATAGTGAACCAAAGTTACTTCACACGCAGATTGCTGACCCACATGTTTAGGCGACTGAACTGCATTTCACAAACAAACAATATGATTATAGCGTCAAAGGTCTAAGCATTTGTGTCCATGCCTGACTGCAAACCTTTCATGTTTAGAAAAAAACACAGCTCAAGACACCACAATGATACTAAGAAAAAGAGTTACCAGCTCTAATACGCCAACTTGAGAAGTACAGCTCCACACGCCTCGGTTTTTTTCTTTCTTGGGCAAATGATGGATATGGAACACCCTGCCAAATGGAGGTTGCTGAGCGCTCAGATATATGCACAACTTACGTAGGATGTAGGCAAACACTTTCTACAGACAGCAATATTAATGTATTGAAATCCCTGTGAATCTTATCCATATTTCGCAAACATGCTAGACAAGGCAGCATGTTGCTCTAAACCTGAGTTTGATTTCTCAGCAAGATGTGTGTGAGAGTTTAACAATAGTAGCTAGAAAAAATGTTTGCAGTATGTTGGCTCAATCTTTACTCTCATCAGTTAAATCCATCTTCAAATACTAAGATGTGCTCCAATCAGCTAATATCAATAGTAAATGACCCAGTGTAATGTTCTCTTCATGTGATACAAGTCCATAGAAACATAGCTATTAATCTAGGAGTATGTTCATCTCCTCCTAGACCTAGAAACCTCATAACCTGATATCCCATAAAACTTAAAGATGCTGATGAGTATGTTCATCTCCTCCTAGACCTAGAAACCTCATAACCTGATATCCCATGAAACTTAAAAGATGCTGATGAAATTATGCAAGCAGTTCAATTTTCAAAGACGCCGATAGGTAACTTCAACACATCATGCAGGCAGATAATAAAACGGTTTACTATCTGAGTAGTCGATACTTTTATGTTGCTGTTTTGTGGATGGCAAAAATAACCTTGAAAATTATCACTCTTTTGGAAAACAAACATTTATATTAGTCCAGGTCAATTACAACCCCGCTTCTGAAAAATTTCTGCAGACTAAGTTCAAACAGCAGAGAAGTGCAAAACAAGAATGCTATATTAAATAAAAAGTAAGCAACAGCTTGGAGAAAAAAAGGGGTAGAAAAGGAACATAAATTTCAGTAGGTACAAGGCCAAAAGTAAAGCGTAACCATTGAGCAGGAAAATGGAAAGGGGACAAAATGTTTCATCTTCGTCAGGTATAAAATTATATGAATCTTTTTTTGCAGATAATGGAGGGAGCATAACATTATAAGAGTAAAAGTATCTGTCAATAAAATACTCTGTACACATACCTTTGTAACACAATAGTAAGTCTTCCCGGATTCCCATATGCGTCCTCCAAAGATGTATTCACGGTCACTGCAAAAGAATGGGAACTGGAAAACAAATAACATGTTGGAATGGAGAGTTTAACTTGAAGATACACACGGAACAACAGAAGCTGGACGGACACCTTTTTTATCCAGTGGACAATTGTTGCTCCATTCTGAGGGAACTCATCCAAAGTTATGGAGTATGCAAGCATGGGATCCCACTTGAGACGAAAATCACCATCCCAGAAGAAATCTCTAACCAGTTCAGGAGTAGCATCCTCAAAAATAGTGCGGCTACAGTACATTATAGGTCCCTCCTAATAAATACATTTAAGATAAACTCAGGACACGTATACAAAGATATTATGGTAAAACATTTAGTTGTGATACAGATTTTACTGCAATTTTCTACTTGTTCATGCCAATTTATGTAGATTAATTAACAAAAAAAAGGTAATCAAACAATAGAGTCTCAGGATTCCTGTTTCAGTTGAAAAGGATAATATTACCGCCTCTCATTTCTATTTCTTAGTCTGTTTAATTTCAGATTATGTAGATTCAGTAAAGAAAATGCTAGAATCTAACAAAGAGTACAGTAAACACTTCAACGGACACATCGTGTGTAATCCACTGGCCAACGAAATGATAGTATACCACCATGAGGGGAACTGACAAGAATGGACTTTCAAAAATCAAAATTCTAGTCCTTTGCCATTTTAATTTAACACCCAGAATTGCATTCAGACATTAATATGTTATACACCACATCTCAATTGTGGTAGCAGTACCATTTATAATATCCTATATTATTAGCATTTAATTCTCTTTTCACAATCCACTGGAAAGACTAACCTCAGGCTCACGCCGCCAGGCCTTGTAGGTCATGTTGGAGGTTGTACGCTCCATCAAATTCTGCCAAGCCGTATCCCAGCTTTCCTTGTTATCTAAAAGTTGCAGCAGATGTTCTAGGTCCTTCTCAGTGACAGTATCATGCTCGTCCTCAAAAATTGTCCTGCCGGTCAGAAATATTGAACTAAGTTTCACTGCAGAAAGAATATAGGAAAATTGTGGTGCATTCTTGTGTCTAAAAGATTAATAGGCCCTGTTCGCTTCGCTGAAAAGCCATGGCTGATAGTACTATTCACTGATTTGTTGTGAGATAAAAACGTTGTTCCTTCGCTGAAACAGTATAAGACAAACGAACAGGGCCTAAGTCGTGCATCTACCGCCACAAGTTCCTAACGTCACTCTATGTCACCAATTCAAAACACAAACGCGCAAACCCTATGGACATGTGTCAGTTCATCAAGTCAGCTGAAATAGAGTAATTTTCATGAGTCGGGGAAAAAAATCAAATCTCCTAAACCGCCTTCAGCACAAGGACAGGGTCGCCCCTGAATGAATCTCAAGATCACCAATTCAATTCCGAACTGAAAGATACCTAGTCTTCAAGAGAGACACTTTGGCAAGACTGACAGGCGCTGCATTTCTGCCACCTACCCCGGCCAACCCCGCCAGCCACAACAGAAAATAGATTGAACCCCTAGACGCAGACGCTGACCTGCCGTCGGCGCAACCTCCGCCGTCCGGGGCCGCGGAGGCACGATCCTCGTGGGAGGCCTTGTCCTGGTGCTTGCCTCTGCGGCGGCGGGCGCGGAATGCGGAGGAGAGGAGCCTGGGCGCGACGGAGCAGGCGGAGAGCGCGGTGAAGGCGAGCCAGAGCCTCCGGGCCCCGAGGCCCGGCGGCACCCAGAGCCAGAGGATGCGGAGGCGGCTGCGGAGGCCGAGGAAGAGCAGCCCCGTCCAGCGCGGGCGCCAGGACCAGCCGACGATGAGGCCGATCATGACGGCGGCCCAGATCGGCACCGCGCAGAGCAGCACGTCGACGGCCATCTCCGCCAACGCGGGGCGCCGCCGCAGCAGCGCCACCGCCTCCTCGCACCACCCCGCCATTGCTGCTGCGAGGGCTGGAACCTGGAAGCTTCCGCGCCCCCTGATCCTTTCTCCAATCTCCAGAGGAGGGCAGGAGGCAGACGAGCTGGGAGGGGGGAGTTGATTGGAGGAGGTTCTCTCCTGCCTGCGCCCGCGTGTGACGTGTCAAAAGCGGCGGAAGAGGACAGTTGGCGGGCGGACCCACGTGTCGGTGGCACCGCGCGTCCAGCCATGTTTTTCTTTATCCTTCCTTGTCTTGAATCTGTGCCTTCAAAAATCCAGCTGATGGAAACTTCTCATCGAAATGCTTTATGATACTTCTTCATCCTTCATGTGACCAACCATTTTGGCCCTTAAAACTTTCATGATTGTATTCTTGAAGTACGTCAAGAAGTCCTTTCTCATAATTAAAGCTCCACGATGCTCTTGAGCTTTGTCCTTTAGTCATAGGTAGAGTTTACAAAAAAATAACATTCAAACACAACTGTAATAGTTTGGCGACATATAACATAACTCACATAGATAAGAAGTCATAAACATAAATGTCTTATACAATAGCACATTGGCATGTTCAACATTTATTACATAACACACTACAAAATAATCTTCATGCTCTACGACTTGACTGCTACTTCCTAAGCACGATTTTGATTGTAGCGTTACCACATTTGCATGGCAATCTGATCTCTTAGCACGTTTGCAGCATGGTCTTCTAAATTCAGCGACTACACATCATTTTGATGATTATCATCTCCATGTGGCAGATCAACATGATCAGATTCTTGTATATAAGTAGGTTGGTGATCTAGCCAATTCTCGTCACCATTTAGACATCTAATTATGTTATAAAATATAGTGGCTGCTGTTGGAATTTTTATTTGAGATTCTATGGGATGATGTGTTCCCACTTTCAGAATTTGAAACATTTTCTTAAGAATCCCAATAGCCATCTCAATATGGTTTCTAAGAAGTGCATGACGATGATTGAAAAGCTCTTTGTGATCAGCATATTCTCTTCTTCGAGATGAGCGTCGCCGAAACTCAGCAATGTGATATCTAACTCCTCGATAAGGCGCAAGGAATTGTGGTGCATTTGCATACCAACCATCCACAAGATAAAACTTTCCCTTAGAAACTTGGAAACCCTTGGAAATAGCTGATCGAAGAACTCTAACATCTGAAGCAGACCCTTCCCACCCACAAGAGATAAATGTGAAGTTTAGGTTGAAGTCACATGCTACCATGACATTCTGAGATAGTGTGCCTTTCCTATTCCTATATGGGGGGCTTTCTCTTCTGCAATTGTGATAGGCACATGTGTACCGTCGATAGTACCAATACAATTCTGTAAAAAAATGAAACTTAAAAACAGAGCAAAATGTTGGAGAGACAGTAAGGTCTAGTGTTATGCCTCACCTAAAAAAGGGCCAAAATCTAGGATCCGTAGCGATTTTGGAGTGAGTTTGGTTGGAAGTAGGAAGCTTCATAAATCTATAGGTGAGAGTAGGAATGATATTAAAAACTGCCCTTATGTGCATGTGGACAGTTTCACCACTATGCTAAAATGCTTTCTCCAGTCTATCATTGCTAGCATTGTGTGAAATCATATACATAAACATCCCTAGTTGCTCCTCAACGGTAACACCTCGTGTGTCACGCAATAGACCCTCACACCTAAGATAGTTACATGTCTCCTTAAATATTCGTGTCTCCATAGAAAACTCAAATTTACACCAATTCTCGTGCCCCTCTAGAATTTCCTTCACCTTCTTAGCACCGGTATACTCGGAGGTATGCTCTGGCCTCTTTTTTTCATTCAGACATTCAAGTATTGTAGGAACAATGACAAGAAACAATTCATCATCATCTTCTTCTTCCATCTATATGAATTTTCTAATTTTCTCCTTCCTAGAGCCCATTATCTAAAAGTTGCAAATAGAAACAAGCTGCGATATTAGCCTACTTATGTATTTTATAATAAAGTACGTGTTAGTACTTTATTTTTCTCTCTGAACCGAACAAGACCACAGGTAACAGTACTAATTCTGCAAGCTTGGACGAACTAATAACAGAGGCATGTCCACATATTCATAGTGTGACCCTTATATCTGACATTAGCATCAGCTCTATACCAGCTGAGATATTGGCCTACTTATGTACTTATAATTGAAGTCTATGTTCCAAAATTACCCAACGCGTCCCTCTTCTAATTGTCAAACGGCCTGTTCGCTGGTTGGTTTCTAAGCTGATAAGTCCAACTGGTGCCGGTTTGTTGTGAGAGGAAAACACTATTGGCTGGCTGATAAACCCTAGCTGAAACCAACAAGCGAACATGCTCAAAGTCTGCCAACTTGTGACATACTAACCTTACGAACACTTAGTACTTACTTAAAACATCACGGAAGCAAACGAAAGAAATGAGTGTTACCGCTAACAGGCTATCCAAACAAATCGAAAAGCACTCACTGAACTGAACTGTGAATACTATTCTTAAAAGCCTGAATATTCAGAAGCTGCACATGAAGCACTTAAGAGCTAAGACAGCTAGCAACCGATGGAAAACAAACAACTCCTAAGAAATCTCAGAACTGACTGAAACACGAAGTCTGCAGCTGAGCGTTACCTAGCTGAGCGTTACCTAAACTCTCCAATGGTCAGTTACTACTAACACTCTGAAATGCAGCTGCAGTGCACTATCTGAAAAACAAAAACAGAGGATTACAGATGGCGGCGGCAGCGGCGTGACGAGGGCAGGAATGATCCAGGAGTGGCAGTGGCGGCGTGACGAGGGGCTGGGACAACAACGGCTGGCGCGAGCGATGGAGACGGCGGCGCTCAAATCCTAGCAGCCATGCTTTCCTGGACGAGGCGAACGAGAGCAGCGAGGAAGGACCGAGCGAGCGCCGAACAGACGGGGAAAGAAATAAACAGGTGCGGAGGAGTTTTTTCTGTCCCCCGTCGATTGAGAAGGATAGGGTCTAGAAAATCACGCGCTTTTTCTGGCTCGCATGACTCCAAACGGGTGCCGGGGTTAGACGGGGAAGCAAACTCACGGGGAGTTTCTCCATCCACGGACCGGCGGGGATATAGGCGAGTTTTCGCGTATCCAAAGGAGCCCCTAGGGAAGTTGAGAAACTACCCTACAAGTATACTTCACCGTTTTACATTTTTTTAATAAAACGGTTAATTAGATCAAGCCATGATAACGCCATATTTTAGGTATTTAGTGTATTTTTATTAGCAAAGTTTGGACTCAGGAATTTCCAGGCTTCTAAACTGAATGCGTTGAAAATTACTCCCTCCATTTCAAAAATAATTGTAAATCTTAAAGATTCTTAATTTTGATGAGATATATATAAAAAAGTACTTATATTCATGGTACATATAAATATCATTTAGATTAATCATGAAATATGTTTTCATAGTAAACTTAATTAGAGATCTAAATATAGATAATTTTTTCTTTAAACTGAGTTAAATTTAAGATCCTTTGACTTCTCGGGACGTGCGATTTACATTTTTCTGGACGGAAGGAGTATAGACATAGCCCATAGTCAACATGGCCCAACTGAATGTGTTGAAAATCGTAGCCGTAGCCAACATGTACCATGTTCGCTTGGCTTATAAGCCGTACTTTTTCAGCCAACGAACAATATTTTTCTCTCACAACAAATCAGCCAACAGTACTTTCAACCAAACAAACAGAGCAATTGTTCTTTGGGGCCAGTCAAAAAAGCACAGTTGTGACCTCTCAAGGGACGCCTGAGAAATCAAGTTAGGCGGCTGCCTGCGTTTCATAGCGGGAACTGACAGATCACTCTAGGTTTCTTTTTCATTTTAATTTCTCAACCTTATCCACAGTAGGCCCAGGAAGACAACAGCTAACAGCATGCTTTATAAAATGGATGCGGCTGTTCGACATTACTCAGCCAAAGCTGTACCGTGAGTGATCATGTGATTCAATCACGCCTCAACTCTCAACTACATCATGTGATTCAAGAACACCACATTTATTAATGTCAAAAGGAAGATCAGACTCAAGACACCTCATGAAACGGGAAAAAAACACGTGAAAAGATAAGGCAAAAACTTTCCATGCATACCGATACCTACTACTTGCACCAAGAGGCAGGCAGCAGGCTCTTTGGTTGCAAAGCCTGGGAAAGACTTGTCCGGACGGTCCGTGAAGGAGATGGGATCATGGAACTGATAAGCCGACAGATTCCAGGCTAGTAAATATGCAAAAGCAACGCGAATTTACACTAAAATTCAATGCCATGGATTTAACCGGTTCTGGTTCCGGTTCCGAGCCTTTGCTCCCAAAACTGAACGGAAGTAAGCTTCCCACAACAGAAGTCATTAACCAAATGGTACAGAGAGTATCCATCAGGTACAGTCAATCAACATAATTGTCAATTCCCTTCAGAAACGCGAGTCCCCTTCATTCTTCAGGCTCTGCGAGGATGGTAGGAATCAATGATCGATAAGATAATATATGCATAAATGATAGCTATTTGCATGAAGTACAAACCAGTCTTTTGAAAGATCCACCGTTTACCAACTTCTTCAACTTCTCTGCATCGGACTTCGCTCGGTCCAACGCCTGAAGTACAAAGCACGTCAGGAAAACATTGCATGTTGCAGTAGCAAATAGCAATCAGGATTTCAATTAGTTTCTAAGTTATTTCCTAGCCATTTTGTTTCATTGTATCCATCCATTAGATGATACTGAATTTATGCTATCCCTTCCAACTCCTTCCCTATGGGTAGTTTCCATCAAACCACCGTCATATGCTTACACTGCTGCTAAAACAACTCATCCTGAAACTAAGAGTTACGATTTATAAATGAACTATGTGAGGTTAGTGGAGAACTGGAGATATTGAATTCCTCCAATCACAATATAAGTCTACATAAGTTTGTCCTAGGTCAAACTTTTTTTTAACTTCGACTAGAAACATTTATAAAATATATTCCTCCCTCTGTCCTGAAATATAAGGTATCAAGCATTCAGAGTTTGT